ATAGTCACAGACTCGAATGTCCCACGTGGGTAGCCGGTAGGCAATTAAACACACCATGCTTCTTTAAAAACCCCTAAAAGACTCAGAATGTTATTTCCGTGGTGGTTTCTAAAAAACAGACTGGAGAATTTCGATTGGCACAATACACCAAACAATTCACATTATCAGTATTTCCATCCTTGGTCACTTCCCGTTTCAGTGGTGGGAAGACCACCGGGCGTAAAGTGTACTGTCCGTGGCGTCATACGACTGGCGGACCGGTGATGTCTCCATCAAACAAATGACAATTGCAGCAATTGGGACTTAGAGCCACCCGGTTGTGGTGCGAACGGTTGAGACCTGGTCATCTTTCGGACACTGGATTGGTCAGGCCCGGCCTCTGTTGTTGCCACTCATCTGAACAGTCAGGCCGGGGAATTCATTACACAATGGTCAGTGACCCATTTAGTTAGTGACTACGTCTTGATCTACTTGAAGGCAGTTAGGGTACTCAGCATGCACACTACAGTTGAGATGAAAGGAAATTACGTTTGTATCGGATCCACACGCTGCGCATGTCAGAGAACGTGGAACAATGTGGAATTCGCACAATTTTCAGCTAGCTTCCTCGGGTGTAGACTCTGACGCATAACTGCTCAGGACAAAAGGGGCATGGACATCAGGCCGATTGACCTTTTTGCGCACCGCACGTTTAGACTGCCCAGATATATTTCAGCAAGCATAATCCCTCTTGCGAGCCCGTATGTTTTCAAGTTGTTTCCAAGGTTAGTATAGGCAGTTTTATACGAAGAGTTGTCCTGCCAAAGAAAGAATTACGAGTTTCAGCCTTGACACGAAGTAGCAACGATTCAGATTAAGCAACCTAGCGGACTGTTGGGTGGTGGTGGTGGGTTTTAGGTTGCAATTCGGAACGTAGTTCTAACTTATCGTTGCCAGTCTGAACAGGTACATGTTTTGCCCGTTGGGTGGAGCAACTTCATCGTCAGATTATCCATTCCTACCGGAAACCTTTGGTACGAGCTTTGAAAACCACCAAACTACCGTAAAGATGGGTAATTGATTTACCACTGAGTGGTCGTAACTGATTTGAAACGACCCCCCACACCTATGGAGGCAAAGCGGTTCATTAATCTAGCCTGACAGCCCAGTATGGTGAGCGATCAGTACTGAGCTCGTTGGAGTCAGGTGCGACTGACGCCTCCGAGCTGAGGGCATTTGACGTGCGCATAGTCTCCTGGGGATGTCTAGCACTTAAGGTAGCCGTCTGGAGACTTCGAGACGCCTCAACTTTCAGCGGGTCGACGCATAACTGACATCAACAGATGGTGAAGTGTAAAATGCGGTTTTATAGATAGCCTTATAGGTGAAAGAATGAGCTCGAGTGTAGAAGATTCAAACACAAGGGTTAGTCGGAAATCCAAGGTACTTTTCAGAACTCATCCCGGGTTGAAAACACATATGACAATAAAATGCGCGCTCAACTGTGTGCATTGGAACGGCTCATCGACAGCAGTAGTGTGTGCGTCGTGCTCTAGTATGGCAACAGTGCTGCCCGGGGACTGTCAGTAGATGAACTGATGGTACTCAGCGGAGTGTACTATGCACACACGCTACAGAGGGGCGTCATCCTATTCTTCATTTTCCGTGCACAAATCGTCGGCAGAGTGGTGTAGAGATAGATTTTTTCGTGATATAACAACTTCCGTAGATGATACGAATACACGTGAAGTTCGTAGACCAGTAGTGAACCCTTTTGCCCTTATTCGTGTAATTTTCGAATTTTTCACAACTAACTGCTGAGTGTTAGGTCAAGAACAAGTAATTAGCGAAATACACTCATTTGCAAACTAATTTGGTTTTTCGAGAGACTCACCTGGAACGTAGCTGAATTTCTAGTTTGTGATGTTTCCAGGCAACTGAATGTCCTGCACCAGGCCGCCTCATGTTTCAGTCACTACGATATTCGAGATGTCGCGATACATGTTTATTCCTACTGCACTGCTCATAAAGTTGCTGAAAATTCGCTGACAGTCCACGACCGGTTCCGCCCTTCTTGGCCTCATTAGGCAGGTGCAGTGCCCGAGTTTCCGTCAAACCAAATTTGTTTGCAAATGAGTGTATTTCGCTAAGTTCGTGCAGTTTGGTTTCAAGTAGAACATAAGGTTGACGGAAACTCTGGGACTGCGCCTACGTGATGAGCTACAAGAAGGGCGAAACCCGTCGTGGGCTGTCGACGAATTTTCAGCAACTTTGTGAGTAGCGCATTACAAATATAATTACCGAGCTGTTTATTTGCAGGATTGTTCATGCTCTCGAAGTTGCGCCAACGTTGTCTAAAATACCGGACAAATATACTGAGGATCCATTCCTCCCATTGTGCGAAGTACCCCTACCGTTGGTGGTGTGGCAAAACGCGTTCATCTGTTAGCAACAGGCAACTTACGACGACACCAGACGTAAGTGGGACATGATACATCGTATGAAGCAACGCACGACTTTATCTTTACTAGTGGTGAAAATGTCATTAACCAGCGCGTTCTACACAGGAAACGGAGTTCAGTTGGAAAAGCCCCAACAATAAGAAAAGCGCATCTGTCGTTCTTGTAAGGCTACAACCTGTGGAACTTGCTGTTTGGAAGGAGTTCATATAGTGCGGACACCACCATGCACGTGTTTCTGTGAGCGTTTACAGTACTTTCACCATATCTGATTTACATAGATATACATAAGTATGTTATGTCTGACATACTAAGGGCTATAAGGATTGTTGAAACCTTCAACAGCCCACAAATTAGATTTATAAGAGCGATCCACGGAAGAGTTTACGGGAACCGTCATGTTCTAGTGCCTAGCTTTAACTAACACAATAAAGCCTACGTTCGATGTTTCAGAACAAATTTTTAGCATTTTTAGACGCGCGGAAGCAAGAGACCTTTCAAACTAGTCGAATCATGTTGGAGCTTTCTGCTGTGATAAGTCACAACTCCGTTTTCCAGCCTAAAAACCGTGTACCAAAGTGCAAACCAAAGCTTCACCCACCGAGGATGAGATAAACGGTCCTTCGGAATACAAAGTACACGGTCTAATCAGTGTAACCTGTGCAGTGTGACCAGCTGATCTGTCGAGAGTGAACTTCCCCGAAAATAATCTGGCGTAGTTCGGTACCACTGATCTGATGTTCCCATCAGACCAAGCAACGCTTCGGAGGGAACAGTGGTCGCAAGCAGCGGCCAGGCCTCTGATCCATAAAGCAGGATAGATCGGATCACGGCACTGTATAACCTATGACAGATTACCTGACGTCAAGGCAGCGCCACAAATATAAAAGTTGGCAAATGCTGCCATGAATTTCCCAACTCAGAAAGTGATTTCTTCTTCCGTCAGTCCGCCGGGAAAAATGCAGCTGACCAGAGAGACGGCCTGATCCACCGCATCGATGCGTTCACATGCGAGCAGGAGGCATGAGGTTTGATCCCAGCTGACCTTGTATCAGCATTTTACACTTCACAGGTGGGAATTGTATACCTTAAGTATGCAGTGGAACTATTCGGGTTGTTTATTATAATGCTAAAGGGTCTGTTCCAGGATAAGCAACATCACCGGCGTACTTAATGTCTGTGAACGAACGCCACGGGAATATGTTGGTCCTCGAGGTGTTGGAGGTAAGTAAAGACCACTCAAGCAGCACACCAATTACGATGCCAGATAGGAAGGGCGACAAAGAACACACGTGTCTGATGTGGCGAACTCAAAAGAGAATTCCTGGTAGATACCCATGCACCCAGGGAGGAGGCATATAAAGCCTCTATACGATACAAGAATTTACATAGGGTACCCTTCATCGCCAAACAATGCCACGGTTTCAGACGATCGTCAGAGTCAAAAGCAGATATGAGACCGAAAAATACGATCAATTGGAATATGGCCGAGTAAGGTATGTTTTCATTTCCAAGCATTTTTTCGTAGTAAGAGACGAAAGAATGGTTTTGTTGAAATGTGTAAAGAGATGATGACGCAAAGGGATGGCTACCAAATCATGTGCTTATGTTGCGGGGGTGTTCTCAAAAACCTCATTTTGTTATAAAGGAAACTACTCATAAGGTTGCTGAAAACTCTTCGACACATTCAGTTGTAGAATCTCATAAACGAGAGATTCAGTTGAGGCACTCGTGAAAACCAAATTGAGTTGCAAATGAGTGTATTTCTCGAAAAACCTCGTTTGGTATTTCCGTGATTGAGTTGGTGTCCGGGTATCATGCAACAATCCGAGGTATTTGACAAGAATATGCACTTCACGTGGTTTTACAATCTTTTTGCTTTGTCTGGATATCTTGCCCCTTTCGGGAGCTATGCTCAAGCAGGTCAGACTGACCACACAGGGTTAATTAGTATACTTATCACTCGGAGGCCTAGTGTTGACAGAATTTCACTCAAGTATGGATTGGCTAAAATAATTACAAGACATGAAGGGAACTACTCACACAAGGCTGGTGTGGACATCTGATGGATTGTTCGTTTTCGTGAAGGCCACTCGTTGTTATTCAGCGCTAGTGTCTAATGTAGCGTAATTGAAACTAGACTGTACCTGCTGACATGAGCTAGTGTGTGCATCCCTTTCTCTCTTTCAAATACAGGTACCCCTGGTGGGCCACCACGAGCTCCAGAAAGGAAGCTGCAGCCCACTTCTGCACCCTTTTGGGTGACATTGAGCTATTTTTTATACCTTACTTGACGTGTACCTGCCTTTTCGATTGCAACGAGCGCACATTGCTGCCTCCCTGCGGTTTGCTCTTCTGCGTCACCCAAACTGTGCGAATGTGTGCGGCTCCAATAATATCAAATTTCATAGCTGATCATTTCAAAGGCGGCGTGCACCGTTACTACATCCTTGTGAACGTCAAGTGTCGCTGACTTCCTGATTACCCACGCTACATTGTAAAGACTAGGTGACTGAACCCGCGGATAGCTTTCTGTCACAATATATATTTACAGGCTGGGCTGGATAATGTACACTTGAGTGGTATGGATCACTGAGGTCTAGGATGCGTCGCCTCCGAATTCACGCATAAACAGTAGGCGCTTTCCACGCCTATTCACTGCATTAGGGACCAATGGCGGCTTCCGAACCGAGATCCCGAGTCCTCCAGGTGTCCACGCACATAGGTGAATTTGGCCAGAAGATGAGTGCGATTCTACAGCTTCTAACTCCTCCTCATCTGATGTTGAGCCATTTCGGGTTGATATTCCAACGACACTAATCCAACCTAGAAAAATTGGACCATAAATGTGTGACACAGTAAACTTGAAAATCTGTGGCTTGAAAACAGTAAAAAATAGAAACAAATTCAGGACAACTACCACTGAGGTAGAATATCAGTGGAACTGAGTGTGCCTTATGAAAATAAAAGAACTTCTCGAATAGAGAATTCCATGAAATCAAGTCCATCTGGAGGGAAAGATGGACTGAATTGTTAACTGTTCGTGTTAACTGGATGCTCATGGAATCAAATCGTTTTTCTGTTGTTTGAGGAAACCCATCATCTTCCTTTGCAGTTCTTTCACACTGGGTAATAAACTGGAGTGCTGTTTGAAGGTCGTGCTGATTTTTTAATAAAAAAACGCCAAGTCATTCGGAGACTTAACCTTGAACGCCAAGTCGGTCTCCCCTGCTGACCGTCCTTTGCTAGGTCATATTCCTCTGAGGCAATTACGGAAAGTTTTTCATCCACGTCAAACATAGACTCTCTCATATACGCAGTGCTTTGCCAACGAGTCGAAAGTGATCTTATGGCCTATTGAACAGTTGATGTTTCACATTGGATAATGTCAATGAGTCGTTGGCACCTGGAAAATAGTTCTATCCCTGAAATACCTTACGAATACCAGCCGCAAAATTTGTCTGTCACATTTAGTTTACTGTAAACCAGAATTCGATGGAATCCCAGATGCGAGGAATTACTTGTCAGCTAGGGCTGCAACATGACCACGAAGGATCTATCAGTACCGTACTTTTGCAGAAAACAAGCGAATCGTGCACAGTTGTTGCAGTTTCTGTGTGCCAGAACAGCTCAGTCCACGTTTCTCGGTGGGATCCTACAGCTATTCAGAACCAGTATCCTCCACCTCGAGAGAACATAACGATAGAGTGGAGCCATCACTGCACTATCTGGCGAACCATGCTGATCCTTGTGGACTTAAACTTGGTGCCTGAATAATTTCGGAAGGACACACTGCTTCTTCCGATGTCTGGTCAGGGCAGATCTTCGCCACCCATGCTGGAAAACAAGACTCCTGCCCTTGCCGGATGTTTATCGGGTTAGTATGCATCAACACTAAGGGATGAGTTTTCATTCATTGTAGTCAAAGCTACATTGATGTGAAAAAATCGCGGTCTCATTTCCATTGTGGTACGCCGTCATCTAGGTTCGGGTTAACTTTTGATTTCGATTGAATATTCATCCGAAAAGATACCGAGAATGAACCGAATTGTAATCAATCCGAAGATGTGTCAGGAATGGGTTAATGCAGAGAAAGAGGTCTTCTGTGAGAACGAGCGTGTAAGTGGAACGATAGAGCATTCTTTACAGAGAAGAAATTCATCAGCGAGAATGGGCGCACAACTTCTCCGATTTATAAGAATTCTCTAGTTTGCTTCCGGTAAACTTCCCTGAGTAATTTTGCAGCGTGAAATGTACTCAGTGCTTTGCGCCTCCAAAGAGAACTAATTGGACTGGTTGAACAGCTCGATAGAAAGACAATAAGTCCACAGTATGCGAAATCCCGTTTCGACACAATCAGCTGTGGTAACCTGTCAGTGCGGAGCTGCAATACAACTCGAAAGAGGTACGAGAGGCGAAATACTGTCCGATTACTGAAGAGCATACACAACAGCAGCGAGAACGCTCGAGTAGAGTTGAAACCTCGGGCCGTCCGACACATTGATAGGCAATCACCTGAGATGGAATCTCGCAAGGTAATTTAATTAGAGGGTGTATACGACTGCCCCAGATTGCGCCCTGGAATCAAGTTGACCAGTTAACCAATGAAGACAGGTTTTCACCTCTTGATGTAACACGGTCAGGCAGATGAAAACCAAGGACATTAATGGAAATATTCCAAGACGTACCGGCACCGGATAAAACCACGTCAACGCTGCTCATCTTGGCAGAAATTTGGGGGCTCACTGGATCCAGTACACGACTCTTGAGCGGAGGCAGGTGACCACAAGGTCCTCCATCGCTTACTTCATGACCAGGGCCTAAAGAAGCGGCGTGTTCAGTCACATATTGTTCAAATTCTGTCTGTTCGACAATATGCACTGGAAGTGTGCTGAACGTGGTGAAGTAGACGGGTCCCGGGGACTGTATGAAGAAAAAGGATGTCAGGAAGCACACGAAAAGAGGGGCAATACAATACAATCGTGTGAATATATGACAAACCACGCTGGCTAGGTGTTTTTGAGTCAGAAGGTCGAGAAACCTCAGAAAAGGCGAATAAAACGGTATTTTAGCATGACCGCTTGTTGGAGAAGAGAGTGGAATTTCTTCGGGCTTCCACAACTACAATTCACCACAACTTGGTGGAGTTTTTAATCCACCCAGGCTTTCAAGGGATACCAATTGAATGAGACTTGTTTAGTAGGACCGATCTGGTGCTATTTACGAGGTATCGTGAAGTAATTTAAAGCTTTTGAACAAATCAGCAGCAGTGATTCAATCATACCGATCGAACAGAAAGCCTGGTAGTGGTCAGGTTATTGACCCGTGTAACAGCATACGCCAAACTACTGGAAATTCTAACATCGACAGACAGATGAATATCACGTCATGTGACCTTGATCTTGTTTATACGGAAAACAACTTCGGCAGATCCAACGCCCTAGACAAATTGGTGAAAACCACACTATGATAGGTCAACGTAACAAGCCCTCCTAATGCAGTGCACAACCGGATTCGGAGAGTGAACTCAAAAACTGAAACTTTAGTCAAACCAAATGCAAAACTGTTATCTACTCAAGTAGGGATAACAAAAGTTGGCAACGTAGTGATGCACCACAAAGGTCTGAGTTGGAAAAGATTCATCTCAGAAGAACCATGAATACTATACAAGTGAAAACTGCAGTTATGCGCTGTTCAAAAGTGGCTGACAGATGGGTGCTGAGTCGGAAAGTACGAAGAATGATGCGTTAGGTAAGTATCCATAGAGTCTCCAAGTAAATAACTGATCAGAATGATGAAAATACCCTTACCTGAAGCAGGTCCAGACGTCCCAGATTACCCAAGAGAAGGGCTAACCCCGGACGCATAATGAATGTTCGGGGAACAATTAGTGCTCTTTGAGAACCGTCCGCTTCATTTTTTGCTTTGCGTTTACTGTGAGCACTGTTCGAATTTAGTTCGCTAACTGCCTGAAGATCCTTGTTGGAAAGGTAATTGAGCGTCTGAATGAGGGTAGAGAGAGGGAGGCAGTCTAGCACTGGAAAGTTAAACCGATATTTTCCTAGAATTTCTAAAATCAGCTCTGCAAAGGGGTTGAAATTACAAGCCGATTGCTTCGCCAGCAAAAGAATTGCCAGTACATGCACCGTCGTCACCCGCAGATATCCGGCTAGGCAGAGCTATGCGAGGTGGACCACATCAACCAAGGAAATCGTTCAGCTGTAACACCCTTCCGGTGCCTAGCTGCCATGCCACCCAAAGGAAGCACGAGGGTTGGGATGCTGCCAGGTTGCCCAAGCCTAGACAGGGGAAACCGAGAGGCAGAGGTTGGGTTCGAACCACGGACCTTCCGGTCAGTAAATGCGCGCTCTAACCACTTGAGCCATCTCGCCCCACCAACTAGGGAAGCCAAATATGAGTGGGCAAATACAGGAACGGCATTAATCAATCCGAAAGCGCACGCTGTTTGTTACCAACCGGCCACGCTTGTTGGATGAATTAGACCGTACAATACCAGCCCTCCGTGATAACCCAGTGACAGTACAGGTCCCCTAAATATTTTCAGGAGCCGACGGCGAAGACCACAGACGATCTAGCAGTATGAAACTGGCGAAGCGGGTGGGTCACAAAACTGACACGCTTACATAAGCAACAAACATCTGTCAAGCCAGAGTAAAAGTAGAGATGTAAAGCACCAGTGACCGATTTGAAACAAGGACCAAGAATTAGCGGAACTCGCGTGATTTCGCAACACTTTCATCACACAAGACAGACACCGGGGAAGACTTGAAACACTTGGAGTAGGCGGATCATATTGCGCTACTTAGTTCGGATTCCATCCAGATACAAAACACACTAAATGACGTAAACACTGTTGCGATGCGTTTTGATATGAGCTTTTCACCTCCGACTTAGGCACCTCTGGGGTCGGCGCTTGTAGTTAATTAAACGACCAGAATTGACGGATATTGCTCCAAACTCTGGAAAGATTTGGAATCCCTATGCGTATACACCAGTGGTTGGCGGCCTAAGAGTACTTTCCTAACGACACACGCACACTACTTTCCTCTCTTACAACCTCCCATATGAAGCACCTCCATCGAGAGAACGATTGAGAAGGCACGGAATTTTTTTGACTGAAATTCCCCTTTGAGGAAACTAACGTCCCAAAACCAAAGGAAAAACATACGCTTGTTCGCTAAATGGTATATTTACCAACCAAAAGGAAGAACCCTACTGAAAATATTGTCACTGACCCAGCCCTGTTTTTGGTTGACTACCAGTTAGAAGAGTTACCAACACAGTTCATGAACTAGCCCTGGTGGCGTAGTGGACCCGAGCCCGATTCCAACACGCGCACCTTCAGATCGACTACCGACCTCCCGTCATGGCAATCTGTAGAAAACACAAGTTTTTCTTAAACGTCATGAACTTTTTGACAAGGTCTGAGTTAACCTGGCCGAGAATTCGGCTTTGGAAAAACAGTGTCATCAGTCAAGGCAGTAACACAAACGCATGCATGCGCACGAGAATTCAATATCTCCAAGTCCCAAGCAAGCAGGATTGTCTTCGTTGCTGTGCAAACATACGTCTTGATGTTTAGTGATCTTCATTTATGTATTACAGCAAGGCGAGAAAACCGGAGGAGTGAGGGTTGATGACCACTTAACAGATTCACTGTTGTGTGAGTGACTCACCTATATGCGAGGGAGTTGAAAGTTAGTCGAAAATTAGGTTGAGATGGGAAATTTTATACCACTCTCAAAAACCCATTGGGGAACATCCGGATAAAAATGAAATTTGATCAACACAGCGCAGAACACATGCCATACGGTTAGTAGCAGTCGACCTCACACGAGAAAAAATCTCCGTCGGGGAAACACTTCGGAACCCCCGAACATATTTGCTTGAGACAAGAGCAGTATAGTGAAGCGGTGGTGTGCATCAGTGGTTTAGTCCAAAACTAACATGCATATGCCATTACAGGTTGTCTTTCCTCAGCATGAACCCTCTTGCAGGTACACGAGAACTGAACAGAAAAGACGAGAACGCTTTTTTGCAGCGCCTCCACACCTATTCGAGGTAGTAAACAGGCTGTGATTTGAGGGAAAATGGATGTATTCGTCAAAAATTGCTCTTAGAACAACTAACCTGGTCAGGACAAATGAAACCTGGGGTGTCAAAGCACCAGGCGCGATCATTAAAGTGTCTGGGGTCTAGGAAGGTGGTAAGTAGACGGTATCCCCGATCCCCGGCCCATGAGCCCGTATCAATTTGGATGCCCTTGGGTAAGTAGATTTGCTGTAATCGAGTAAAATCAACCTCACTGGCCTCCATTACTCCACAGGATCTAGTGTAGGTGGGTATACTGAGGAGATTTGGTGACGCACTTCGCGCCTTTTCGGCAGCGTCGGCTAGGGGCGTGTAACTTCGTTGGTCTGACGTAACAATAGGTTGTGCTGGCATAGACAGAAAGAACGGAAAGGAAGGTTTGTTAGGCAGGTTAACATGGAACAACTCAGAGTGTTTGCAGGGAAGGAAAGACAAAATACTAATCAGTCATTCCACAGAAACTGCAGAAGGTAAGGGCCATTAACGACATTAAGAAACCACCAAAATGGCTTATTCTGTTACCGGGAGGCCTGTGCAATTCGACCACGGCTGTGCATTTGAGAAGAGTGTTGCATTCTCAGTGAGACTTTGTAATGACTAAACAGATGAGAGGAATCAGAAAAACCTCTTTAAGACGAGCTTCAAAGTGGCGACACCGGTGAAGCTCAAGAGAATAACGAGTAATTCATGAGAAAAGGTAGGCCCGAACAACTTCCACAGACAGAGGGTGCGAAGTGTAAACAAGTGAATCGAAGTTTACTGTTTCTCACAAGGGACGTGTTTGCTTCTTTATCAACCATTACATATCAAAGTCGACTCTAATAAAGTTGAGCCTGGAAGGGCTTTTTGTATGCCTTTAATGGTGCTTCCCCTTGCTGCCGTTCCACGCACCGGTACCATAGAAATCTATAAAGGATCCCAAGTTTAGTAAGAACTTTTGTGGAGATTTCGTCCTGAAAGTGAAGCCGATCTATGCTGGAAAGCCGAGAAGCACTGTACAGCTGTTTCATCCTCACTGGGAATCCTCAGCAGTGCGCATCTCACGAAACTCCGGAGTGTTCAGCATAGATTGGCTTCACTTACAGGACGAAATCTCCACAAAAACCCCAAATCTCCTCATGCTACCAACAGTCAATAAGTAGCTCAGTGGAAGAATGAAGTTCACCCGATGCGTGATCTATCTGAGGAGTCGCTGCTCGAGGGGTCAGTCAACACGTGTGATCGCGTGATGTGGATCCCGTGACTGGAAGGTGAGCGGCGCTATATCCTGTCTAAGTGCGAGTTAATCACACTACTGATCAGCCGCTCGTGGCCGAACGGTTAAGTGTTTAAACTACTAGCCAGGAGGTCGCGGGTTCGAGACTCTTCGGAGTTTCGTGAGATTCGCACTGCTGATGATTCCCAATAAGGATGAATCAACTGTTCAGTGCTTCTGGGCCTTCCAGCGTAGATTAGTGAAGACTGTTTAACATGATTCGTTGTCACGTGCGAGCGCACTGTTTCCTGAAGCCGTCTATTGTAAGACGAGATCTGTTTCTGTTGATTTCCAAGTGATTTCCACTCTCAAAATTGATAGTATTATAACTTGCGGCTTCTACAGAATACGGAATAAGGAAAAAGTGATTTCGATCCCGATACCAAGTGACAGCGAGCCGGATGAATGAGACCCACTGATGTAGATATCTAACTGTGATCAAGGATCGGAAGATTGTCAGAAACAGCCTTTACATAAACAGGGACCGCAGCAAAAACTGAAAAAAAAAACATGAAGAAGCGTAGGAGTTCGACGATGACCGTTCGTCATGCGACAACGAATGATACACCAAATGAGAAACAGGAGTACAGCGAACAACAAACCTTTCAGGTAACGGAATCCGCACGAGGCAACGTATTCGCTCTCTTTGGTATCGGGAGTTAGATGACGCGTATTATACTTGGCCTCTTCACGCAACCCCCTTTTGGCAGAGTTCATTAACACCAGGGGAAACTTGAGGAGACCGGCAGTTGTGCCTAAATTACGTGAAAAGAGCAAAAGATGAGCAAGGTTGGCAATTCATTTGAAATATTGGTACTCTGGATTCTTTCTGCGAAGACAAGCGTAGCTGCAGTGAAAGAACGCTTCCGAAACAGTGGAATTGGATAGAAGACTTTAGGTGACCTGTGCAAAAAACAGTGCCTAAACTCCTTGATAGAATGTGATTCCACTCCGATATGTTTGACACAGCAAGCTCAACGTCTGCGCATTTGAAGTCTCCCATTCAGTTAAGTCAGTCCAAATTACTCAGCTGCAAACCCGGTAGCAGGATACAGCGGTTTTAGCTCCCGGGGTTTCATACAGGTTTTTTCTAGAGATTCAAAAACAACTCTCAAACGAAAACTGCCGCCGGATTTATACAATCATTTGCACAAATAATTTTCTAGTTCACGATATTGTGAGATTCAGTTGAGTCTCGTGTTAACACCAAGGTGATTCACAAATGAGCTGACGAAACAACACCAGTTATAGATTTTGTGAATTATGCCCAGCACCTTCGTATCCATTGGATCAAGTTTTTTGAAATCCACAAAAAGTATATGTAACGGCTGATTCCGTTCGTACCGGAAAGAAAAAGTCAACGGAATCGGAAACGTTCCAAGTCAGAATACACCAACTTCAAGGGAATCTACAACGATACATTTGGTTATGGAGATAGATGTGGTGACATGGAACATTTCCCAATGCAATCCAGCACCGAAGAAGCATATCCTCGAGAATCAACGGGGAGGCAGTTTTGTTCCCTTCTCCCAAAAAGTTCGCACTGCCCATCCTACTGGTCAAGTATTACTGGTCGAATATCACATTGAACGAATGAAGCCAGTCGCATCAGCTGGTTCCTCTTGGTTAGGCTGGATTTCGTCGATAACCGTGTCTAAGAAGGACAGGAATACCAGTCGCAGAAACCTACAGGAATGACGGTCGTCACTTACAACCAATCGAAAAACTGTCCAACAGGTTTCAAGCATTCTTGGCGCTACTGGACTAGTGGGAAGTCTTGACAGGCGGTGAGTTACCGGATCGTCCTCATCTGAGGCGTCCATCCGCTCAAGCGTGAACACGTTCGCCAGTTTAAACCTGCGCTGTTCGAGTAGTGGTCATACGCCCACCTAGCATGTCAGACGTCCGGAATTCGAAACCCGGCAAGGATACGGATATGCAATGCTGACGAGCTCTAGTAAGAGCGAAACTCTAACCCAGTGATTCCTCCCTTTGGTGCGGACTAACCAGAATGATTGCGCAGCTACCTACCCCATCTCCCCAGATCATCGATGAACGAAACTGTGGAAGATACAACCGCTGTACGACAAGTACGCCGTTCTTACAGATGACAATGATGATGATGTGGGAGGACAGTTGAAACAAGAATGATGTGAATGTGGACTCTACAAATCCCGCCACCGCTTCCAACTAGCCACCAATTTCTGGCATATTTTTCACAACATTCACCACCTACATGATCCGGTCCATTTGCTGGCTAGCCTTACATTCATTAAACCTAATAATAAGATTCGTAGATGGAGATGGAAACTGAAACTTCGTGCGGGAAATCATAATAACAGTGGTTCCGCTTTAACACCCTTTCGGTGCCTAGTTACCATGCTATCCGAAGAAAGCACGAGGGCTCGGGTACTGCCAGGTTGACCAAGCCCAGAAAGGAGAAATCGGATTCGAACCACGGACCTTCCGGTCAGTAAATTCGCGTTCTAACCACTTGAGCAATCTCGCCCCTTACCCAAAAGAAGCACGAAAGTTGAGATACTGCCAAGTTGCACAAACCTAGACAAGAGCAATTGAGATGACAAGGTCGGTTTCGAACCGTGGACTCTTCGGTTGGTAAATTCGCGCCTCAACCACTGAATTATCTCGAGCTCGTACGAACAAAAGAAGTACAAAGGAACTTGAAACACGGATCAGTATATACTGACCCAATTTCGCCAGATGCGCTTTCAGACCAACCACATTCGACCTGATTGCCTCGACAAAACACCAGACCTATTCGGTCTTTGCCCCAAGGTGGTTCGTGAATGTGCGTTCAAGAACGCCCCATCATAATTATAGGTCGAACTAGACCAAACAACGGGCACGTCTACAACGAAACACCACATTGGTTGGATTCACGATTGTGAGATGACGAAACATGTTTCTGACTCTTAGTTCATGCAGACATCTACCACAGTCCTTCCCTTGAGCGATCATTCCTCTAATGACGTTGGTCGTTGAACGTTGAAGAATAAACGACATACGCTAGGGATCCCAATAATTGAGCTCGGTACAAATCTCGAAGCAGGATAGGATGTACGTGACAAGGTGCACATGACTTACTCCCCAGGCTGGTGGAGCATTATTGTGACCGTTGCGTTCCATTTTCACCAGGCCCTTATGATGAATATGGGGACACGAATGATAGATTTAATGCGGAACGCAGACTCCACTTGCGGCACAATGGTTTGCTTACCATCCTTGGATGTCAAGTCGAGCAGAGGTCTTAGAAAGCGAAGAAATGAGGTTATGAAACTGACAGTCGTCGTAACTTCTCTTCAAGATTGTGCAAGGTGTCATAAATCAGAAGAAACTAAAGGAGTTCCAAACCATCTAACAGGCAAATTCTGAGTTACCGTAGATCGCCGAAATTAGGAAAGCCTGGTGAACATCTTCATTTCAGAGGTTTTATAGCGCATAAGTAATTAAAACCAATCCTTGATAAAATGGTAACTACAATGTAACAATGAAACTCCAGAAACACTCGTAAACGGCAGAAATATGGGCAGAATTACTGATTTCCCCTAATGAGAATCACCTTTTCTAGGGGAACCGATTACGTTTGCTGGAGGGAATGATATATATATATATATATATATATATATATATATATATATATATATGTGCGA